TTTCTTATTGTTTAAATAAATATTCTTGTAGATATTTACGGTATCCTTGTAGATATTATTTAATTATTTCTACATCTTTGAGAATATTCTAAAAACAATTTACGGTGTTAAATTTCGTTATTAGGGTACCCTTCCCGTAAACGGACAAATTTTTTGGTCCCATGAATGTCCGCTTAACGGAGGTTTCACTGTATATATATATATATATATATATATATATATATACTGCCTGACAGTTATGCAAAGTAGCGTTCTTGGCAGCCGACCAATAACAGTAAAATCAAGTGTAGAGGGCGTGGTCGATGATACACTAGATTATATATTGTTGTTTATTTTTAATTTAAAAATTACTAAGAAAGAGTCAATTTTGACACTACTTTTTACGAATTATACATGCTGTTCCTACAAAAATTAAAAAAATAATAATTGAATCATTAAAGTATGTATATATGTGTATTATAATGGTGAATGAATCTTTATTATTAAGAATTAAAATTAGAAAAAGAGATTTAAATAGTGTAAGTTATGAATGTAATGTTACTGCTTGATTCTTTTTAATAATAAAAATGGTTTAAAAAAAACACTATTATTGAAAAGGGTTATTGTTAAAAGAGGATGGTAAAATTTTTAATTCAAAAATAAATAGGTAGTTAAAAAAGTAAATAGATTTTTATGTCTACTCTACTGTACAGTAAAAGCTGAATTTTCATTTATGCCATGTGAAATTTAATAATGGTGTATTGTATGTTATAAGCATTTGTTGGCCTTTTTTAAAAAAGGATCATAACACAGGAAAAAGACGTTTGATCAGGGTGGGTGGCCAAAACAATTTTTTCATTTATGACTTGTGAAATTGGAGTGTAATTTAATAATATGTGATAAGTATTTGCTGTCCCTTAAAAGGGCCTTTTTTAAAGACACAGGAAAAAGACGTTGAACAAGCGGCAAAAAAAATTTGCCTCCAAAACAGTACAAAGGACGTGCACTATGTCCATGGCAGTCACTGTTTTCCTCTTTACGTGCTCGGTGAATGTGACAGCATCACGGATAACGTTCTGAAGGAAAACTTTGAGAACTCCTCTGGTTTCTTCATAGATGAGACCAGAGATTCGCTTGAATACACCTCGTCGAGTTAGACGTCTGATGGCAGAATTGGTGATACCTTGGATGTTATCACACAAAATTTTACGATGCCGCTGTGCACCACCATTTCCGGGTCCTTTTCTTCTTTTACCAAGGCCAGACATGATGACGAACCTTCGTCAGCAAGAGTGTGAAACTAAAATACTCAAAAAATATTTTTCGAGCATTTTATACGTTTAACCCCGCCCACCTGTCCTCCTATTAGTCGATGTGAATCGAAAGCCGCTTCGCGTACTAATAGCGAAGATAAAAATGCCCCGCACCTCACCTGATACCTGGAACGAAAAAATTTCACCGAGCTTTGGACACCATCCGAGTAAGACCTATTTTGATGTCGTCTGATTAGGATTTTTTATATCCAAGGCAGACAAGAAGTGATCCCGTAGCGGTTTTCTGTTTTCTATACAGGTTCCGCGAGAAGTGATCCAGAGCTGTTGAAGCAGACGAGCAGTTTCTGAGAAGATTTTGGAGCCCACTGGTAACGTATTGAAAAGAATCTCAATTTGAGATGGAGTCGAACGGAAGTGTAAGAGTTGACTTACACCGGAGTTCTTCGATCGCGGGGTCCGATTTGTCGGGAGCCCGGACGGAAGAACGTGACGAGTTAGAACGAGGAGTAAGGCGCAACTCGACTCCAGAGGCGATGGAGGGAAGAGTGATGCCGGCGAGTGCGTTGGAAGCAGCGATGGTTTGCCACCGGTCTTCACGGCGATACCTGGTGTGGTTCACGCATCTGCGGTGAACAATGAAGCTGTGAGGGCCTTTAATAGGCAGTAACTGGAAATCCTGAAAAATGGTTGGTTACCTCCAATGAGTGGGGGTAACTTTAGTGTAAGTAAAAATTGCAGTGATGGGGCACAGGCAATGATGGCAGAACAGATGAATGAGAAGATTGACCGTCTCTTATTAGAGAATGAGAAACTAAAACATGAAAACAGGCACTTGCAGAAGGCGTTGTCACAGAGAGAGGAGCTGTCCACTCCCTCTGTGACTACGAAAGAGACAGAGCCGGTAAAAGTTGTGACCGCAAAATTATCCTACCCAAACGTAACCTCGAAGAAGAGGAAAAAAGGTAACAATAATGTCAAAAAAAAGCGGAAAGTAGTAGAAAAAATTGGTGATAAAAAAGATGGCTCTGGGTCATCAGATAGCGATGACAAGTACAAAGGACAGACTAAAAAACCAAAAGTGGTTGAGAGGAAAATAGTGGAAACTGAGAAGGAGGAAGAGAAAGGAGACGAGTGTGAGGTAGAGGCCTCAGATAGCGACGTTGAAGAAATGGAGTTAGAAAGAAATTTCCAACTCCAAAAGAACAAGAAACGGAAAGTCCCTCCGATTATAATAAACGATAACACTCAAATGTGGATGACGATCTCTAAGACACTTAGAGATATGCAGATCAATGGTTTCACGGGCAAGTATTTGGAGATACGATGAAGTTGTCTCTCGCTTGTGAGGACGACTATAGAAGAGTAACACGGTACTTTAGAGAGGTGAACATTAAGTTTCACACCTTTAAATTGCAAGTTGAAAAACCACTGAGGGTGGTGCTGAAAGATATTCCAGCGAATATAGAAACTAAGGAAATAGAAGAGGCACTGATAGCAAACGGTTTCACCTTATTAAAGGTGAAACAAATGAAAAGTTTCAGAGACGGGGCTCTGAAAAAACTACCTCTATTCATAGAGACAATGCCCAAAACAAGGGGATATTTGATCTGGTTTTCCTCTTTAACTTAGAAATTAAAGTCGAGTTTTATAAAGGCAGAACAAATCATGTAACACAGTGTTACAGGTGTCAAGGCTTAAATCACGTACAGGATTCCTGCAATCATGATATTAAGTGTTTGAAGTGTGGAGAGGGGCACTTCAATCATCTATGTGAAAAAAGCAAGAGTAGCCCTGCTAAATGCGCAAACTGTGGAGGCGAGCATCCCAAAAATTATCGTAACTGCCCTAAATGTCCAAAGGGTCAAAACAAAGGACCAAGAATGGCATACTCAAATCGGACGACTAACAGAGAGCATAATGAGCTCAATGTTAATTATAACACGGCTTCAAACGATGCTAGATCAGTTATGATCGAGCTGAAAGAACTAGTTAATCAATTAAAAAACTCTAAAATCATTAACTTATGATGAGTAGTACAAACAACAGAAAAAGCCACTTGAATTTGTTCAATTGGAACGCAAACGGACTGAAAAATAAATTAGTAGAATTGAAAGAATTTATAATGGAGTACGATCCAGATGTATTTGCAATTACTGAAACGCACTTGAACAGACAGTGTAATATCAAAGTCCCAAATTACACTACATATAGATGTGATAGAAGATATAGAGGAGGAGGAGTGGCGATCCTCGCAAAGAATAGTTTGAAGATATCATAATGAATATGACCAGTCAAATGAAAATGGTATGGAGTATGTATTAATCCTCTTTAACTATAATAATGATACAATTAAAATAGCGGGTCTTTACAACGCACCCACACATACCATATCTGAGGCACAACTGAAAAGCTTGTTCGAAGGTGGATATGGCACTATTGTAGCAGGCGACTGCAATTCTAAACACACGATATGGGGCTGTAATAGATCGAATGTAAATGGAATAAACTTAAAAAAGTTGGTCAATAAATACTCTCTCACAGTGGTAGCACCTATAGAGCCCTCATATTATCCAGTTATGAGAAATCAAATTCCAGATATTTTAGACTTTGCTTTTACAAATATGAGAGTACCAATGGCTGCAAGTACAATCAATGATCTTTCATCAGATCATCACCCAGTTTTAAAATCTGTTGGCATAACAATTGATAAAAATCCTAGAATGATAAACAGTACGAATTGGAATCTAATTGAAAATGTACTAAAACGAAAAACAATAGCAAAACAAAACCTGGAAACAACAGACTGCATTGACAATGCAATAAGGCACTTTCAAACTTCCATACAAGAGGCTCATACCGAAGCAAGTACCTCTAGAGAGTATAAGGTCAACTTCCTTAGGCTCCCACCAGAAATCAAATACCTTATTAAACAACGAAACTGGTGTAGGAAGAAATTTCAAACAACATCTGATCCTCAATTTAAAGAGGAATACATGGACCTTAACAAACAGATAAAGAAAATGTGCAAAAATTTTAAAACGAGGCAGTGGAATGAAAAAATTGAAAGTCTATGTGTATTAGATAATAGTATATGGAAATTGGCTAAGGCACTGCGCATACATCCACAGGAAAATAAGCCTCTATGAACTGGCAATGGCTTATTTGCAGATTGTATGGAAGAACAGTTCTCATTAAATCAAAACTTTAATCCTCACTATGATAGAATAGTGAATGAAAGCGTAGATAATTTTCTGAATGAAAACAGAGATCCACACCTGATAGATAGTACTGATTTTCAGGAAACAAAGCTATTATAGTAAAGCTACATAATAGAAAAGCCCCTGGCTTAGATAACATTAAAATAAAATTATCAAAGCCCTACCAGATCATTATGTAGAATACCTAACCAAGATTTTTAATGCATGTTTATCGCTACATTATTTTCCCGCAATATGGAAGACTGCAAATATAATTCTATTTCCCAAACCGAACAAAGACTTGCTATCTCCGACCAGCTATCGACCTATAAGTTTGCTTTGCATTCTTGGGAAGATACTGGAAAGAATAGGCTCAAACATTTCTTAGTTGTTTACCAGACGAACAGTACGGGTTCAGGGCGAAACTCGATACTACTGAGCACGTATTGTGTTGGCAGAGGATTACATCTGAAACAGACGTCGGCTTTGTTGATATTAGTAAAGCGTTTGATAGAGTATGGCTCAAAGGAATAATTTATAAATTGATAGAACCTGAATTCCCGAAAGGATTAATAAAATTTATTAATAGTTATTTGGCAGAGAGAAACTTTCAAATAAGAATGAAAAGCGTACGCTCCACAGTGAGGAGTAGTAGAGTAGGCTTACCGCAAGGTGGCATACTCGAACCAATTTTGTATATCCTATTTACACACGATTTCCCAATCGATAGGGGCAATTGGAACAGCCTAACTGCATTTTATGCAGATGACACAGGTGTCATAGTAAAATCTAGTGACCCGAACATGGCTATAGAGAAACTGCAGGAAAAGATTTATGATTATGAAAAATGGTGTTTAGATTGGAAATTCGAAGTAAATGCTCAAAAGTCCCAACTATTGATTATCCAGAAGAACAGGAAGTCAATTAGAGAGCATAATGATCTAGTACTTTTTAACCAAGTGATACCAATTGTAAATAAAGCTACCAATTAGGTCTATTCATTAACCACAGACTGACTTGGTCGGATCATGTGAAAAATGTTAAAAATAAAGCCAATGCTGCAACTTTGAAACTGAAATCCATCATGTACAGTGAAAAATTCAGCTTGAAACCAAAGAAGTTACTGTAAACCCCCATGCCTCGCCATCATGGTGTAACGTATTAGAAAGTGAGCTTGCGAAACTCTCAGCAACGCAGAACAAGATCTTAAGAAGACTAACTGGCGTAGAGTGGTATCAAAGAAATGTGGATATTCACACGGACCTAGAGTTAGACAGTTTCGAGCATCACTTTCACAAACTAAATCGAAACTTTTTTAAGAAGGCTTTAGACCGCAAAGCAGCAAATTTTGATTCTTTTTTTTAGTTCGGAAATTTAGCTGAGGACGCCTCCCTGAGGCCAGTTGCTCATTTTTTTACAAGTTATGTAACTCTGACCATGTGAGATAAGCTCAATGGCATTATTTATGGCACTAACAAAAATATTATATAAGACAATTTAACTCGGACATGACATGTAAATATTGTATAGATATGCGTTGACAAAATCAATCTCATTTGTTCTTAAGAGCAGACTAAGCTTTGAAAAGGGGCACTATGATATAGAATGAATGAAAATTGTACCGAAGGCGTGCAATTATTTGACAAACTTCTTACTAGAAGTTTATTTGTTATTTTTGGACTACTAATAGACATGTCCATATTAAAATACAAATGGCACTATTGCATATATGACAACTCGGACACGACTTGTAAATGCTATAATGCACTGACAAAATCGATTTGATTTGTTTATAAA